TAATCCAAGCTACATGGGAGGCTGAGGCAGGAAAATTGCTTGAATCTGGGAGGCGGAAGTTGTAATGAGCCAAGATAGCACCACTGCACTCCAGACTGGGTGACAGAGTGAGACTCTATCTCAAAAAGAAAAAAGAAATAAACACTCGTCTGTCATTGAATGTGTTTGCACATAACCTAAAACCATTTCAGGCACAACTGAACCCCACATTGCAGGCAGCCCTGATTTAAAGCATTAAGGTTGCCTATAGCTAATGAGAGCTCCTAAGCTGCTCAAGTCGATGTGGCAGTCAGTAGAGCAGAGACTACAAGCACCAACCCTAGAGTCTGCTAGGGTTCAAATCTCAGTTCTGCTGCTTGCCAGCAGTGACCCTGGGTAAGTCTCTAAACCTCTCTGGCCTCAGTTTCTGGTGCAGTAATAGTACCTTCACAGGTGTATTGTAGATAAGGCACTTTGCACAGTGGGCGCTCTGTAAGCTGTAGCCACCATCATCACTGAAAGCAAATCTCACCTGCCCTGTTGGTGCCTTGTCAGCCTTCATCAGCTTTCAAGTCTCCTCCTTCTTGGCTTTGGCTTTCTGCAGCTCTGCTGTGCTTTTGTGGTGCCTGCTGATGTCCCCGCTATAGGAGGAGGAGCTGCTGAGCTGTCTGGAAAAGGACAGGGATGTCAACTGCACAGGCACACATGTAAACATATATATAGACATGTCATTCCCCAGGGTTATAGGTCCCCAGAGAAAGGGAATGGCTCAGGCAGGAATGAGGCCTGTGGAAAACACAATCTGTTATGATCTCTGGGGGTCTGCAAAAGCTCATGACCACTGATACATAAAAAGTGCATGCTTTTTTTTTTTAATCAATTCTAATTGGTCTCAAATAAAAGATAAAACAGAAAGGGCACATCTTAGATAATCTTTCAAACATGAAAAAAGTTTCAAAATATGAAACATGATGAAAAAATAGGGCAAAGTACCTAGTTAATTCAATTTTCTTGTCTTACAAGAAAATTGTTGTTGGTGGAGGTTGGTGTGGAATCTTGCCCTGGCTTCTCCTTCATGCAAGCATGTTACTCAGAAAGCACTTTTTGGCTGGCTGCAGTGGCTCACACCTGTAAACCTAGCACTTTGGAAGGCCAAGGCAGGTAGATCACTGGTGGCCAGGAGTTCAAGAACAGCCCGGCCAACAGGTAAAACCCTGTCTCTACTAAAAATACAAAAATTAGGCAGGCATGGTGGCAGGCACCTGTAGTCCCAACTACTAGGGAGATTGAGGCAGAAAAATCGCTTGAATCCAGGAGGCAGAAGTTGCAGTGAGCCATGATTGTGTCACTGAACTCCAGCCTCAGCGACAGAGTGAGACCCTGTCTCCAAGGAAAAAAAAAAAAAGGACTTTCTGTACATCAGTGGTCATTATCTTTATGCAGACCCCAGAGAACATCAGACTGTCTTGCCCACAGTTTTGTTTTCAGTGGCTGAGTTGGTGCCACTGCATACTGAACTCCAACCTGCGCAAGAGGGAGACTCCATCTCAAAAAAAAAGAAAAGAAATTGTGGAGACCATATAAAACACAGATGTGGCTCTTTGCTGTGGAACTTTCTATGCCTTCCTCTACCTACTTATCTCCTGAACAAGACTACAAGCTACCTGAGGTCAAGAGCCCCAAGTGATTCATCACTGCACCCCCAAAACTGTGTCTCCTGAAAACACTTCCTGAAGGCCAAATAAACCTCCCACACCTCCCCTCTTTGATCTAGGGCCTGGGGGTGGGTAACCTTTCCTTACTCATGAGACCTGTGCAAAGGTCTTTGGTTAAGGCCAAGTGAGGTGGAAGTGGCCCTCAAATCGAAAAGCAAGTGTGGGTTTTCAGGGAGCAGCAGAGGGAAGAATCAGAACCAACTCTGGATGAAATCTAGAATTCAGATGGGGTGCTGGGACTTCCTGCTAAATGACCTAGGGCTTCACAAATCCAAGCTAGCACCTTGGACGAAAATCTTACATCCTTCTGCGCTCATGCACTGTCTGGAATCTCCCACTAGAATGCAGGCTGTTTAAGATGATAACAATGGCAAAAATGACACGTACCAAGGCACAGTGCTAGGCCACATCATCTTTGCCCTCTTCTGACCCCTATAGCAACTGCAGGTCCACCATCCTTTCTCAAATCCCCAAGATCCGGTATGCTTAGGTTCTGACTTTGTCAATGTTTGTTGTTCTTTTGCTGTTTCTTTGTTTTTGCTTTTTTGAGACAGAGTCTCACTCTGTTGTACAGGCTGGAGTGCCATGGTGCAATCTCAGCTCACTGCAACCTCTGCCTCCTGGGTTCAAATGATTCTTGTGCCTCAGCCTTCTGAGTGTCTAGAATTTACAGGTGCCTGCCACCATGCCTGGCTAATTTTTCTATCTTTAGTAGAGACAGGGTTTCACCATGTTGGCCAGACTGGTCTTGAACTCCTGTCTTCAGGTGATCTACCCACCTGAGCCTCCGAAAGTGCTGGGATTACAGGTGTGAGCCACCATGCCCAGCCAACTTAGCCAGTTTTTAAAAGCTAGCATGATTAACATACTGCATATGCTGTAAATCCCCAGGGATCTAAGGAAGCCCTCTATAATCAAACAGGAGGATGCTTCCTTTTTTGTAGAGATAGGATCTTGCTATATTGCCCATGGTGGTCTCAAATTCCTGGCCTCAAGTGATCCTCCTGCCACGACCTCCCAAAGTGCTGAGATTACAAGCATGAACCTCCATTCCTATCCTTGAGATAGTTTTATATTGAATGGTGCTTCACAAAGACTGAACATTCCAGGTCCCCCCGAGTGATGTATGCAAAGACCCACACCATGTAGGGAACTCGAGTGTCAGAAGTATGGGCAGATGGTGAAATCATGAGGCCTGTATGAGTCACACTACCTCCCCCAACTTACCTCTGTAGTTGCTTCCCCATACTGTCTGTCACCAACATGCCATTCTCCATTTGCTTTGCTTCCTTCCCTGGACTGCTGATGCCCGTGACCCCTGGCAAAAAAGAGACAAAGAAGGGGAGGGGAGCTATATGAGCCAGATGCTAAAACCAAGGGCAAGAAAAACTGGCCACTTACGGGAGGAGATGGTAGAGCAATGGACAGCCAGGATGCTCTGAAAGTAGACCTGCTCTGCAGAGGCCGTAAACAGGCTGTTTGGTTGAGGGCCAGGTGGTATCTGGAGTTCAGTCCTTTGGGGCAGGAACAGTGCTTTGCAGCTATGCAGAGTGCTCCATTCACTGAGGGCCCTGGGCCCGAGCAAGCATCCTGTACCAGCAGTGATGGGTAAAACCCAGCCCAGATAACAGTATCTCTGCTGTGTTAAGCTCACTTTCCCAGGACCAGGATGCAAGGAGCTGCAGGAGGAAAGGGCATAGCCCCCTGGTTCCCAAGCACTGCAAGAAGAGGTGATATTCAAAATAGATAATCAGTTTGACAAGGGCATTATCCACCAGGCAGAGGCCCAGGGACCCCTGTAGTGCCAGGAATTAACCCTTTAGTGCCCATATCACAGAGAGCTCCCAAGAGTTCATTGTAAAAGGTACCTGGGGCACAGGCTGTTTCCACAGTAATAAGCAAGTATTTCAACATTTGAACAATTGGAGAACCTAGTTCTGCCAATGACAAGATGAGCTTTGAAGTGGGCCCTTCCCCGGTTGAATCTTTAGATGAGACCCCGGCCCTGGCAGATGCCTTAGCTGCAGACTTAGGGAAGGACCCTGATAAGGACATTGAGGGACAGGACAGCTGGATATCTGCCCCGATCCCAGGAAGAATCCACCCAGCATCAACAATAATCACCAGAACATCAACAATGACAATGGCAGCCAACATTTATCAAGGGCGCTTGGACACTGTGCTGTGTTGAAACAGATCACGTCTCTTTCCTGGTTCATAATACCTCAGTGATGATGACGACTACAGCCCCGACTCTGCACTGGCTGCCTCATTCTTTGGTGCCAGGAGAGAAAGCAGCACAATGTAAGGCAAGAAAGGACTGACCCCAGGAGAGGTGGGAGAGGACCCAGGATGGGAGATACAAAAGGGATAAATATGCAGTCAGCAGTATGGTCAGGGTGACTGTGGAAACATGCTCAGGTGACACAAACAAAAGCAGAACTCAAAAATGCAGGGTCTCACAGAAATAGCCACAGGGAGGCATGGACATGCCTGGAAGGCAAGTGGGGGCTGCAGATCATTCCTGGACTGGGGGAGGCACTCTGCACCAAAGATTCTCAATTTTGGTTGCAAGTGAATCACAGCGGGCTTTATAAATGAGCAGGTGGCAGTCAGGCATGGTGGCTCACACCTGTAATCCCAGCCCTTTCAAGGCCAAAGTGGGCAGATCACTTGAGGCCAAGAGTTCGAGACCAGCCTGGCCAACATGGCAGGCTAAGGCATTTGTGCCAGGATGGAAACCAGTGTCTTCTGCTTCCTGCATTAAGCAAGTCTTGTAAGAAAAAAAAAAAAAAGTGAGCTGAGCTGAATGGCACGCTTGGTGCCATAGTTGATCTCCATGATGGTGCTGCTTCCTCATGTTATCACCAACTGGTCACAAAGTATGGACTGTAAGTGTCCCATGGAACACATGTCAAGTGTGGTTAGACCATAGATATGGCATGGTCTAAACACACTCTAAAATTTATTTATTTTGGGCTGGGTATGGTGGCTCACACCAGTAATCCCAGCACTTTGGAAGTCTGAGGTAGGTGGATCACTTGAGGCCAGGAGCTCCAGACCAGTCTGGCAAAACCCTGCTTTGTTTAAAAAAATAAAAAAATTAGCTGGGCATGGTGATGCATGCCTATAATCCCAGCTACTCAGGAGGCTGAGACATGAGAATCCTTTTAACCTGGGAGACAGAGGTTGCAGTGAGCCAAAATTGAGCCACTGCACTCTGGCCTGGGCAACAGACCAAGACCCTGTCTAATAAATAAATAAATAAATAAATAAAAATAAAAAATAAAAAGAATTTTTAAAAGTACACTTTTATTTTCTTTCCCCACTAGAATGTCAGTTCCAGGTGGGCTGCTGTATCCTTAGTACATGAAACAATGCACAGCAGGTGCTGAACAAATACTTGTTATGCACTGTAGGAAAAAAAAAATCATTAAGATATAAAAGTATATTGTCTTCTCTTCCATCAGTTCCTCTCCTCCAAAGTGACAGTTTCGTGCATGCTTTTAGAAGAAAATGTATAAGCATATAGGGTTTTAATAAATATTTTGAGATTTAAATGGGATCATAGTGTACATAGAGTTCTCTGTGTAGTTAATAATATTATCATCTGGGTTCATTCTGTTTTTTTTTTTTCCTCCCAGTTTTGGTTTTGAAATGGGGTCACGCTCTGTCCCCCAGGCTGAAGTACAGTAGTGTGATTGTAGCTCACTACAGCCTCGAACTCCTGGGCTCAAGCAATCCTCCTGCTTTAGGTTCCCAAGTAGCTGGGACTGCAGGTGCATCACTGCCATGCCTGGCTTCATTTGTGTTCATGATACATGGTTGTCTGGCATGTGGATATACCCTCCTGGCATTACCTTTTCTCCAATTCATTGCAAAAACAGGTTGTTCCCTGTTTTTCACTATCATGATCCATGCTACACTGAGTGTTCTGGTGCCTGTCCTGGGGTACGGTGACAGATCTATCCCTGCCTAGCTGGCTTTGAAAAGTTTAAAGACAACAGTGCAGGCTGGAAACAGTGGCTCACACCTGTAATCTCAGCACTTTGGGAGGCAGAGGCGGGGGTGGATCACCTGAGGTCAGGAGTTCGAGACGAGCCTGACCAAAATGATGAAACGAGCCTGACCAAAATGATGAAGCCTTGTCTTTTCTAAAAACACAAAATTAGCCAGGTGTGGCATATGTCTGTAATCGCAGCTACTCGGGAGGCTGAGGCAGGAGAATCACTAGAACCCAGGAAGCGGAGGTTGCAGTGACCTGAGATCATGGCACTGCACTCCAGCCTGGGCAACAAGAGCAAAACTCCATCTCAAAAAACAAACAAACAAAAAACAAACAAACAGTGCAACTTACCATTTTGCAAAGCTGGCCACTTATCAGGAGACCATATACAGATGGATTATGGAAATTCCCTTTTAAGCACAGTTAAAAACAGTTAATGGTGAAGGATGACTTCAGATGATGCCCCATGTCTTTTCTGTCTTTTTATTATTAACTGTGTCATTCTTTTTGTAATGTTATGCTCATTACAACTATTCCTTCCTGGTCAGGTTAACAAATTTTTCTGTGAAGCAGTGTTGAACATTTTTATAAATATGAAACTTATCTGTTAAACTACCACTTGCTTCATGTTAGCTGAGTTGCAGGTGGAATGTTTAAGGAAGTTCTAGCCTTTTCAGCATTTGTGAAAGCATGCTCATGCTCACACTGAATTTTCTCAGGCTTACCTTAAGTCTCTCAGAGTCTGGACCTGCAGGAGAGATGGTATTCAAATTCAAGCCTGCATCAGAATCACCTGGATAGCTTAATATAAGCTTAATATATTTGGTTGGTGGGTTGGTTGGTTGATTGAGATGGAGTATCACTCTGTTTCCCAAGCTGGAGTGCTGTGGCATGATCTTGGCTCACTGCATCCTCCGCCTCCTGGGTTAAAGCGATTCTTCCACCTTAGCCTTTGAGTAGCTGGGATTACCGGCATGCAACACCACACCTAGCTAATTTAAAAAATATTTTTAGTACAGATGGTGTTTCACCATATTGGCCGGGCTGGTCTCAAACTCCTGACCTCAGGTGATCCACTTGCCTTGGCCTCCCAAAGTGCTGGGATTACAGGCATGAGCCACTCTGTTGGCTGATAGCTTGTTACTATTAAACACAGCTTTCTGGGACCCACTCAGATTTTCAGTTTAGTAGGTCTAGGTGCACCTGAGTATCTGCATTCCTAACACATCCTCAGGTACTGCTGCTGCTGGTTCAGGTCAACATGTAGAGACACACTGGAGTTGATCCTCACTACACAAAGTGTGGTCCATGGACCAGCAGCCATGGCATCACCTGGTGCTTATTAACAGTGCAGAATTTTAGGCCTTAGCCCAGAACTACTGAAACAGAATTTGAATTGTAACTAGTTCTCTAGGTAGTGTGTATGGACATGAAAGTTTAAGAGACACTGGAAGAAAGTAGGAGTAAGAAACTTTTCTGGAAACTTTCAGCATTCCAGGACATATGGTCTTTGTCACAAATACCTGTCTCTTCCCATGTAGTGGAAAAGCAGCCTTAGATAATATGGAAATTAATGAGTGGTGACTGTGTTCCTGTAAAAATGTATTTAGAAACAATAAAATTTAAATTTTACAGAATTAGCATCTGTCATGTAATATTATTTTGATTTTCCGCCATTAAAAATATGAAATCTGGCTGGGCGCTGTGGCTCATGCCTTTGAGAATCACTTTGAGAAGCTGAGGCGAGATGCTTCAGGCTAGGAGTTTGAGACCAGCCTGGCCAACATGGTGAAACCTGGTCTGTACTAAAAACAAAAAAAAATTAGCTGGGCGTGGGGTATGTACCTGTGGTCATGGCTACTCAGGAGGCTGAGGCAGGAGGATCACTTGAACCCAAAAGGTGGAAGTTGCAGTGAGCCAGGATCATGCCACTGCACTCCTGACTGGTTAAAAGAGTGAGACGCTGTGCCCCACAAAAAAATTAGCTGGGTGCAGTGGAGCATGACAGTCATCCCAGCTTCTTGGGAGGCTGAGGCACGGGATCGTTTTAACCTGGGAGGTGGAGGTTGTGTTGAGCCAAGGTCATACCACTGCACTCCAGCCTGGGCAAAAGAGCAAGACTCTGTCTCCAAAAAATTAAACAATGAAATTCATGCTGAGCTCATGAGCCATATGTGGACCTCAGTCCATTTTTGGTCAGCTGCTGGCTCAGAGGAATGTTCTTCTGAAAGTCAGGTCACCTGCCACATTCTACTGCCAGCTCACAGTGTGACCCTGAAGCCGGTTAGCTCACATCCTTGGCTCTAGATTTTGTGATAAGGAAAATGAAGGGGTTAGATCTCAAGCATGTCAAATACTGGGCCCTTCCCTTCCTTCTCATGCACACAGCAGACACCCACAGTCATTCATGGCATTCTTTCCCACTGAGTTAGGTCCAAGCAGCCCTCCAGCTGACTGCTGCCAGTGGACTGGAGTTGAGCAAGAAATGGCATCTCATTGCTCTTCTGTGACTCTGTGTTCCCTAAGATCACTTCTAGCTCCAGTGCCCCTGCATTCTGCCTGTACATCACATTCTTCTTACACCCTAGTCCCTTAACTTTACCGTGATGCATTGATAAACTCTGTATCTTACTTCTCTTCAAAATTTGTTGTATTTTTAGTATAAATGTGGTTTCTCCATGTTGGTCAGGCTGGTCTTGAACTCCCAACCTC